CAGGTGTACCTATTATTCTTTAAAATACTGATGTATCTCTGCTAATAAAAATACCAAGAAATAATTAAGCCAAAAGGATGTTTAATTTCAAGACACTGAACATGTGACAGCTACAACATTTGCATGCCCAAGGGTCCTAAAATCAGGAGTTTGTTAGCACCCTTTCTGACTAATCAGTTTTATAAAAGGCATAAGATTTCATGAATTGCAGCTCACCTCATCAGATGCATAGAGTGGATAAACTGATACGCATCTGACGAACTGAAGGGCAACTCACAAAAGCTGATGCCTTTTAATAAAACTTGTTAGTTGGAAAAGTTGCTACCAGACTCTTCCTGATTTTTGGCTACCATAAACTAACAAGCTCTCCTCTTACAATGCCTAAGATTCCTATAAACTCAACCAATTTCTCCTCCTTGCTTGCTTAATCACCTACAATTTAGCTTTAAAGGGGGCCTTAAAGCTTATAAATATTGCAGATTAGCAAGTGTATAAAAAGGGGGAAGTCAGAAACTTAATAGCCTTCTTTTAAGAAAAATATTTTATTTCCCTTCTTTTTTACTTTTTAGTGTTTTAAATTTGTTAAACTTGTTTCATTCATCTATTTTTTCCTTCTGTATATAAACACACACACACACACACTTATACTAAGTAACAAAACAATGGAGATTTCAGTTATCAAGTATTTAGCATAAACCGTTGTTACATAAAAAAACCCTGATGTAACTTCTTCCTTTATCTCTTCTTTTCCAATGTTATACTTAACTTTGAATAAAAAAACCAAATAATCATAATAATTCTGAGAAATTATTTCTTGCATATTTAATTAGTTTTCTCTAATTAGGGTTCCCTGCTTTTGATTTTAAAAATGTTTCTTATTTATATGTACAATTTGGCATTCAATTCTCTTTTGCTATTGTTATTAAGAAAATTAGAATAATTTTTTAACAAATAGTCATTAACTTACAGCTTTTGTCTTTAGCTGAAGAGATTAGTCTGTTCTGGTTGGGTGGGTGATATCAAAGCAATGACATAAATATTAACTTGTATTTTTTATATTTTGTATTGTCCCTTATTTTTAAATTGAAGAGATTAGTCTGTTCTGGTTGGGTTCTGACTTCCCCCTTTTTATACACTTGCTAATCTGCAATATTTAGAAGAGATTAGTCTGTTCTGGTTGGGTGGGTGATATCAAAGCAATGACATAAATATTAACTTGTATTTTTTATATTTTGTATTGTCCCTTATTTTTAAATTTGTTCAATATGTTAAAAATAAATAATATAAAAATCTTATATTTTTATTCACATTTTTGCAAAAGTCCTTAGCTAAAGCAATAAAATTTGTCTAGTGGTTAAGGCACCAAGGTAGAAACCAGGAGACTGTGAGTTCTAGTCCCACTTTAGGCATGAAAGTCGGCTGGGTGACTTTGGTCCCGTCACTCTCTCTCAGCCCAACTCACCTCACAGGGTTCTTGTTGTGGAGAAAATAGGAGGAAGGAGTATTAGGTATGTTTGCCGCCTTGAGTTATTTATAAAAAATAATAAAGGTGGGATAAAAAAAATCTGAAAAAAATGTAGATATGCATAATTCAGAATTAGAGCTCTGCTCTGTGCCTCTGGAAGCCATCTTTGGGCCACTTGGTTTCTTGAATATATTACAGGAATACTCTAACATGTCAGGAAAATTTGACAGTGAAACCAAGGGCTGATCCTGTCATTTCAGATAAATAGTCCATCTTATCTTATTTCTCTGTTGCAAGATAACTGGCTATTACCAGAAAGGGAGAATCGCTGAAAACACACTGACAGCTCTTCAAAATTTCACAAGAACAGACTCAGATGCAGTGAAGGACGTGACCTCATCTGATAATGATGACTGGTGAAAATGGCCTGCAGCCTTTACCCAGCCACTGCAGTGTGCTATATACCTGAAGCCAGTAGAGAGAG